GCTCAAAAGCTACACAGAGAAACCCTGTCTCGAAAAACCAAACCAAACCAAAACAAAACAAAACAACAAAAAAAAAACCAGCAAAATTCATCCAGTCAACAGATAGGTTAATAAACAACAGTTTTCAAAAGACACACAAATTGCCAATACATTTTTGTTGTTGTTTTTTTGGTTTTTTTTTGTTTTTCAAGACAGGGTTTCTCTGTGTAGCTTTGGAGCTTTTTTTTGTTGTTTTTTTGTTTTTTTTTTTGTTTGTTTGTTTTTCAAGACAGGGTTTCTCTGTGTAGCTTTGGAGGCCGTCCTGGCACTCACTCTGGAGACCAAGCTGGCCTTGAACTCACAGAGATCCGCCTGCCTCTGCCTCCCGAGTGCTGGGATTTAAGGCACGCGCCACCAACGCCCAGATCCAATATATGTTTTTTAAAACTATTTCAAGAGTCTGTCTTATCCCAGTTAGAATGGCCATGATTAAGAAAACAATTGACAGCAAATGTTGGCAAAGGTGTGGGAAAGGAGGCACTGTTATATATTGTTGGAAGACAGTGTGGAGGCGCCTCACAAATGCTGACTAGAGAACTACAATGAAAGACTCTGTGTCAGCACATCACAGAGATCCTTGCATGTCCATTGTTGCTGCATTTGTGACAGGAGCTACGAAATTCAACCAGCCTAGATGCTCGTCAGCAGATGAAGGGCTAAAGGAAAATGTGGTACATCCATACACAATGCGATGGTACTCGGCCATAAAGAAAAATGCAATCACAACACTTGAAGGCAAATGGGTGCAGCTGGAGATCATTATGTTACGTGAAATAAACCAGACTCAGACAAACAAATCCCATGTTCTCTCTCCTATGTGAACTCAAGATACTCGTATGTGTGTGTATGTGACGAAAGTAGAAAGGGCACCGAGGGATAGGTAGAGAGACCTTAGGGGAGGCGGAAGGAGGAAAAGAGTAATGGTATCAAAGCAGGAAGGCACGCTTTGGGAGCAGATAGGAAACCAGAAAGTGGGAGTGTGTGGGAGAAACGGTACATGAAAATGCCACAACGAAATCCTTGACTTTGTTTGCTAAGTATGATGATTATCTGGCCGACTTAACAACGGGACCTAGGTTACTTAGGAGGCAAGCCTCTGGGCATGCCTGTGAGGGACTACCTAGACGAGGTTCACTGAGCCCACACTCCTGGGTGTCCATGGGCAAGGGTCCCTGATAAATAAAATAAGAAAGCAAGCCAAGTATGAGCTTTTATGGCTCTCTGCTTCTTGACTGTGGACCAGTGTGACCATCTAGCCTCCTGTCCTGCCTTCTCTATCTGCTGCTATGTCTTCTCCACCATCATGAACTACTGTGAGGGAAAACAGTATGTTTTAAGTTGAAATTACAGTGCTTGAGAGAGCCAGAAAACAAAAGTGACGCTGACCTGTAAGCCTCACTTGCCCAAGGACAGACAGATAACTTCCCGGAATGCTGCTGGCTATCGTTCATGTAAGATAATGAGCCATGTGTTTTTGCTTTAGACAAGGTTGGTTGCCGCAAACTACACAGGATGTGCTTGATCACACATAGGAGGGAGCTAGGCAGCCAGGAAGTATGTCAGGTTATACGCTTGCCCCTGATTGGATGAAGGCAGGAAGTACACAGCCTTGTGGGTTTTGCCTTTATAAGCTCCTGACTAACATAATTTGGCACCATACTCTGGCAGTCCTGGGTAGTATCCATGGTTCTAGCCAGTATTTAATAAAGCTTGCTTCAAATTTGGCTCAAAAATTGTAGTAGTCTTATTCTTGCATAATAAACACTTCATTTTTTGCATCATTTATTCAGTTATTTTATTACAGCATCAAGAACAGTAACTAATGTGTTTAGGTTTAAAAATAACTAAAAATAAATTTAAATAAAAAAAGGGCAAATATGCTACCAGGACTCCATCTGAATATGGAGAGACATTCCAGTCAAGCTTGAAGAAAATCTTAAGCAACTTTTAATGAGGTGATAACAGAAACAAAAATCCAGTTGGCTGACTTGTGAAGTATTTCTAATTAATGTCAATGCTCAGAGAAAGTGCTGGATGGAAATGCAAGTTGCAACAAGAAAAACCAGCAAGCAAAAGCCCCCATCTCTCATGGTCTTCTGTTTTTACTGCTCAGGCAAATGAGGACAATTGGTCTTCCAATTCCCTAGTATCTGAGTAGGGAAAAGATAGTGCCCAAGCCATCAAAAGCATCTGTTTAATTACAATGCTTTTTATAACATTCAGGTTTTACCTTACAAACCCCACAAGAAACTTCCTGTTTCATTCTGTTCTCTCTTTTTGGCAAAATAAATGCTCCTCCATTTGTGATCCTGTGACTTACACGGAGCTCAACAGCCGCACAAACCTCCTCCCGACGTTAGCGCAGTGGTTCTCACTCTTCCCATTGCTGTGACCCTTTAATACAGTTCCTCTTGTTGTGGTGGCCTCCGACTATTGTTTTCATTGCTACTTCATTACTGTAACTTTGCTACTGTTGTGAACTGTAATGCAAATATGTGTTTTCTAATGGTCTTGGGTGACCCCTGCAAAAAGGTCATGGAACTCCCCTCAGGGGGTCATGACCCACAGATTGCATTAAAGCCTCCCCCAACAGCAAAATGGTTGACTCCTTCTGATTTCTAATCAGTCACAATTTCCATTTAGTGGCATGTTTCATAGGTCTAAACAGTCATGAGTTTTACACAAGGTGCAGCATCAGAGCCTGAAGGACACTTAGAACTTACCTTAGGGTTTTCTGTGAACTTCTTCTTTGCCATCCTCCTCAGGCTGTCCTCAATTCCCTTCTTGGATTTTGCCAGGATGTCCTCTGTTTGGTCCACCAATACTACCGTATGGCCAGTTGGCTGCAGCCACCTAATGAAAAAAAAGTTTTAAAAAAAAAAAAAAAAAACCAGTTTCATAATCCACATGACTTCTACCACTATTCTCTCAAAGTAGCTCATGAACAAGCATAAGCCAACATGAGATGTGTAGTTTTTGCCAACAAATTCTCACCTGATGTGAGGCAGGACGTGAAGGCCACAGAAGGCCTTCCCCGTAGAACCCGACTACCCATTGTTCCAAAAAGGAGCCTGCATTTTCTCTTTAGAGCTGGAGATTGGGTACAGTTCCACCCTTCTGTCCCCCTCTGCACCTACCCATCCCAGTATCCTGCTTCTGCAGCCCTTAAATCAAAAGTAGTTGAAGCTTAAAATTCTAATCACCAAGCCAAAAAACACCCTGTCCCCAAGATCTATTTAATGACAAACTTAAAGGAGAGTTAAGTCTAATTGACTCCTTCTGATTTCTAATCAGTCCCAATTTCCATTTAGTGGCATGCTACATAGGTCTAAACAGTCATGAGTTTTACACAAGGTGCAGCATCAGAGCCTGAAGGACACTTAGAACTTACCTTAGGGTTTTCTGTGAACTTCTTCTTTGCCATCCTCCTCAGGCTGTCCTCAATTCCCTTCTTGGATTTTGCCAGGATGTCCTCTGTTTGGTCCACCAATACTACCGTATGGCCAGTTGCTGCAGCCACCTAATGAAAAAAAAGTTTTAAGAAAAAAAAAAAAAAACAGTTTCATAATCCACATGACTTCTACCACTATTCTCTCAAAGTAGCTCATGAACAAGCATAAGCCAACATGAGATGTGTAGTTTTTTCCAACAAATTCTCACCTGATGTGAAGCAGGACGTGAAGGCCACAGAAGGCCTTCCCCATAGAACCCGACTACCCATTGTTCCAAAAAGGAGCCTGCATTTTCTCTTTAGAGCTGGAGATTGGGTACAGTTCCACCCTTCTGTCCCCCTCTGCACCTACCCATCCCAGTATCCTGCTTCTGCAGCCCTTAAATCAAAAGTAGTTGAAGCTTAAAATTCTAATCACCAAGCCAAAAAACACCCTGTCCCCAAGATCTATTTAATGACAAACTTAAAGGAGAGTTAAGTCTACGACAACCAGCTTAGGTAGGGGGCAATTCCAGATTTCCTGCCTTCTCCATTTCCCCCTGGGTGGGCGAAGCCCCTGAGGCACAGGTATACTGAGCAAAGCTGTGTCCCAAACAACCAGCTTGCTTTATACACTGTCAGCATCTAGTTGACCCCTCTTCCAGCAAGCTCCAGTGAGGACCACAGTAGTAAGTTTGTCTGAAACATCGGCCATGGACTCACCTACATATAAGTGTAAGTCAGTCAAGTCAACACAGGAGCAACAGAACACACATGACCTACCACAGACATGATGTGACAGCTAGCACTAATGAGACACCCCTGGGGGCCCACAGCACTCCCTAGAGGCACTGCCTTAGGACCCATGGACATTGGTGGTGTGGAAAGAGGGGTGGGATGTTGGAGATCTGCCCAAGAAGTAACCAACCAGAAGGCAAAAAAATGGCAAGTCTTAAACCACAGTCACCATGTGAGATTCCTGAAGCCAACTAAAACTCAAAGCAAAAAACAAAGAGGGAAAGAAACAGAAACAAATGAACAGCATGTGAAGGTTAAACGGGTTCGAATCTCGAAGCAAGATTTCCAATGCAAAGACAAGCTTGAAAGGCAGGTTTTCAATTACAGCACCACCCTGGGCTTCTCCCACACAGTGGTGCAGGTCAGAGCATGCATGGCCTGTGGGCTGCTTCCAAATCCCAGTGCCTGAGAACAGTAGAACCAAAAAGGTGCGGAGACTCAGGGACTGATAGACATATCAGGGCACCGGGGGCAAGAAGGGCGAGTCCTCTTGATCTTTTATCTCTTTAGAAGTACACAGTGAGCTCAGCTGTCAGCAGAAAGTCAAACTATTTCCCAAAGCAGAACACCCATGGACCCAGCCCAGCTTTTCTCCAAGAAGCCAAGGCCAAGAGCCAACAACTCAATCATGCACAAATCAGAGTCTCCAACTCAGTAAGTTCAAGGTGAATGGGCAGAGCAAATTTAGAAACAGCCTAGAAAGGAGCTGACACAGCAGGCCCAGGAAGGCTACTGGCAAAGCTGAGCCTAGGCTCACATCTAGAACTTGGGTATGGACAGAGTTCCCACCATTTCTGACAACGCAGCTTATGCTTATGCTGCAGGCTCTCCCGAGACAGTGCAGTTGTGGAATGTGTCAGGCAGTGGGTGACATCACGTCCATCTCCCAGCACAAATCCTGGGTACCAAGTGTCTATCTAGCTAGTGCCCCCAGAGACAACCTTTACATGTTTTGTCACATCTTGCTGCTGAGGGAACTAACTGCACATGTCCACAGACAGCTCTTGCCTGGCACTCGACATACCCCAGCGGCCTTCCTCTTAGCCACAGGTACCGTATACCCTTTGTGGTAGTAAATTGCCACCAGGAGGATGACTGTATGTGGGTCCTGTAGGCCCTCCTAGAGAATCACCAAACCCTGTGTAGAAGGACTAATAGAGAAGCTTTAGAATAAGTCTCAAGTTCTCAGGTGGCCCAGGCAGGTAAGTGAACTGCTCTGTTTGGCAGCTGTGCAAATCACTTGACAGGCAGGAGTGATGGCCCATGGCCTGTGAAGCAGGAACAAGTAAGAGGCCACCTTGGGGACGTTTTTGCTCTTGTCTTGGCTCCTCTGAAATACAATCCCAATGGCATTTAAAACAAGTGGTTTTCACATAGTTTATCTTGACTTCTGCCCTAGAACATTCCTTGAGGTGACCAAACAGGATTCCTGGACTCTTACCCACCAGGGTCCCAACCTATATTTCCTCCTCTTCATCTCCATCAGGGAACCACTCAGGTCTTTCAGCTCTTAGAGTTGGGAAGATCTAAATACTTATGGCATGATAGTGCCAAGCTGATGGGAACAACAACAAGGAACAATGATGGTGACAGTCTTCCTACATGGGGAGTTTATAATCTCATTTGTGAAAGTGGCAAGCCACCCACGATGAAGCCTACAATCTACAGTGCACCTACAATGGCCCAGCACCCCTGGGAGCAAGCACCCACAATGGCCCAGAACCCCTGGGAGCAAGCACTAATTCTTAAGGAAGTGGGTCTCCCCTGAGGTAAGACCTCAGGTGATGTTTCTAGAAAAGCATCTTCCTGGTTACTATAACCACCTCTGGCTGACGTCACAGAGCACTTTTTGTTGGGTTTCAGAAGAGGAGCCATGCTAGCCTCACATCTCTAAGCAGGGCAAAGGAAACCTACAGGTACTCATATGTGCAGACAACTGGCCAAACATAGCTAGCTGCTCAATCACAGGGAAACTAAATCTCCAGGCAGTGTTCCAGGAGAGTGAAGTACATGTTACCTGACCACATCAGAGTGTCTCCGTGTAAACCACTGGCTTATTTCCCACTTATCCAGAAGGCACAGGAGGTGCTAACTGACACCAAGACCAACACCATCTAAATGCTCAGGTTCCATACAATCACTTCTAACAGACGTATCCTAGAGACATGGGCCAGCGACTACATTGAGGGCAACATCATGACTTAATGATCTTTGCAAACCTCAAAGCCAGGCACAAAACAACACATGGCCTGGTCCATATCACATGCTTCATACAATATTCATGGGGTTGCACGAGACCAGTGTTCCATGCTTCTAGCACTGCACTCCACCGGGGCTTCCTCTCACTGGTGAGTGAGCCTAAATGGGTAGCCACAGAGATGGGGGCTGGAGCAGGCAGTCTAAATGGATTACCAGAGAGATGGATGCTGGCTCTTGCTCCAATGAAATCCGGGAAAGCTGCAGGATTCTCACTGCAGACTAGTCTGACCCACCCAGGCAACTTTAAGGATGTAGGCAGCCAAGGCCTCCTGAGAGCCAGCATGCTTCTTCCTGAATTACTGGTGTACTTGTCATAATTTTTGTATAAGCCAAAGGAAGTAACATTCTACACCTACTCTCAACCAACTGAAAAATATAAACCCTTTAAAAAGGAGGGAAAAAAGTCACAAGAACTGGATCGGGAGTGGACTGAGAACCTACTGAGTCCCAAGACTATTTCTGTTTTGCAAAAGATGCCATCAATACAAAAGAGGCCGGGCCACTTGACAACAACCACTCAGTTAAGCCATGAAGCCAGGATTAAGTTCTGAGCCTGTTTGGTTGCAGGACTTGTCTTCCAGTAATCCAGGAGAGTAAAGTACATGTTATGCGATCACGTCAGAGTGACTCCGTGTAAACCATTGGCTTACTTCCCACTTGACATTTTGACTGACTATCTGGTGAAACAATCATTAAACAATAGAACTTGTTTAGATCGTTTCATAAAAGTCAGGTGGTGCACTCATTATGCTCCTGTCCCTTCTCTTCCGCCTCTGGCCACCTCAGCATCAAGCATGCCTGTGGGGATTCTTGCTGGCCTGCCTTCTCCTGACTGTTCTCCACCACCCTGGAGCTAATGGCCTTGCTTTGGTTCTGCAGATGCCATAATGCTGGGGAAATATCCAGACTCTCCTAGAGAATTAATTCTTTTGTGGACTCCACAGCAAAATAAAACCAGAGTCCACAGAGACTGGTCACCCTAAGAATGGCTTCCATGTGAGAATGCCTTCCCAAGGCTGACTGAGAACACTCACTGCTCTTGCAGAGGACCTGAGTTCGGTTCTCAGCACCCATGGGGCAGCTCACAGCTGTCTGTAACTCCAGTTCCAGGGGATCCAACACTCTTCTGGTCTCCTCAGACTATTACACACATGTGGTGCACACATACTAATGCAGGCTCACACATGGACACAAAATAAGTAAATTAAAAAAAAAAAAAGGCTTTTGAAAGGAGTACTTCCCCTATGCCAAATATCAGACCTGTGGAATATTATTTTACCTTATTTAAGCAATTCTCAAAGTGAAAGTGCCAATTTTAATGAAGTGTCACTTTACAGTTCTGCACTTTATTCTCCTAAAAATGTGATAATACTATCATCAAAAGCTGAACTTAATGAGCATATTTCTGTTTTTGATATTTGAAACAAGAAAATTCATCAAAGTACTCATCCAAGGGGGCAACACCAGGCAATAGATGCGTCCACAGTGTAACACTGTGCTGAGCTCAGAGGCTCAGGTCTATGGACCAGAACTCCTTACACACTTGTTATCACATGTCTGTGGCTGCCCATTCTCCCACTACTTTTCTTTCCTCAACCTTTGACAAAAAAACGTCACTGAAAGAGGAGCTGTGACTTCATCTGGCACAAATACTATTCTGCATGAAAAGGTAGAAAGGGCACCAATGTCTCAGATCTCATGAGTGCTGAAAACAAACACCCGTATCTTACAGAGCATGCTACATTTAATTCCAGAAACATCGATTAAAATCTTATAAAACCTCTGGGTTCCTCCACCCTGCCAAAAAACAAAACAAAACAAAAAGCATGAAGACCAAAGTTCAAGAAACATTGTGTATTAGTCACTTCCAGTGTTGCTGGGATAAAAAGCAACTTAAAGAAAGAAGGGCTTGCTTGTTTTGGAGAAGTCACAGTAGGATGTTGATGAGTAGGAGCTGCTGTGTCCTCGTCAGGAAGCAGACAGCAACAAATGGAAGTGATCGGCCTGCTTTCTCCTTTCTATGCAGTTCACAA